AAGATTGTTGTTATTATTTTGGCTGAATATTTTTATTCGGCTTTTTCAGTAACTTGGTAACGTTGTTGTTGCTGTTGTTTATTTGTTATATTTTTTTTTTTTTCATTTGCTTTTATTCATTTATTTGCTGAACACTGGTTTTGGCTATTTTTTGTGTGTGCGTGTGTTGTTATTCATGTTTCAAGCCTTCGTTTGAAGCTTACTTTTTTTAACTTCGCTCTTAACCATCGACAAATAATAATAATAATAAAAGAAAAACATATAACAAAGCAATAAGCCACTACCAATTTTGGATTATTTTGAACAAAACAAAAAAAAAACGTTCCATATATCACTTCCGCTGACAACAATACGTTTTGAAATCACGCCGACAACTAACTAACTCTAGCAAACAGAGACCAGCCAAAATGCCGACACTCTTTCTTCTCTGTGCAATAACTTCATAATTACATTCAGTGGTTGTTCTCTCTCTTTCGCACCCACTCTGGGTGACTCTCTTACCCACAACCACCATACGTAAGGAAAGCATTGCCAATGCAAGACCGTAATTTATTTTCCCGAAGAGTTTCGTTTGTGCAAAAGAGAGATAGAGAGAGAACATAACACCAAAGAGACCATTCAAAAGTGTTTGGTTATGCATTGCACATCTCAGCACAACGGGGTTTTTACTCTCAATGCAAGACTATTCTATGACAAAATCAATGGCTAAATGACAGGTAGTTGTTGTGTGGCTGGGTGAGAGGCAAAGTGGACTAAATCACTAATGAAAAAAGTATTGAAGAAAATCTAATTTTTGGGGAAGCGGAAGTTGAAGAAAATGACAGGCAGGCTATAGCTGTCACATTCTATTATTTTTATGCAATGAAAGCTCCCATGCCAGGGATGGAACATGATAATTGCAACAAATTTCAAAGGGATTTTTTAATTTTGTTAAGACAGTTTTTTATTAATTAAGACAATTTTGATATTGTCTTCTCAATGAAAAAATGAGAGGTGATTGTTGTTTTTTGGCGACTGAGAGGCAAAGTGAACTAAATCAACAATGAAAAATGATTAAAGAAAAACAACTTCTTGGGGAGGCGGAGGGAGGTTAAACAAAATTGGTAACGGACTTTCGCCATCGGTGTTTTAATTAGAACAAATTATTGCTAAGGCTACATTTTGATATTATGACGACAATATAAGACATATTGAGGAGAAAATCGATAGCAAAATGTAGTTGTAAGCGGAAAATCACACACCAAAGATGGGAAGTTTTAATTCGAACAAATTACTAAGGCTACTTTTTAATATTGTGACGACACAATATAAGACAAGATGAGGGAGAAAATCAATGACAAAACGTTGTTGTTGTTATTGTAACTGGAAAATCACACATCAGGGTTGGGATGTAATAATTAAAACAAATTTCTAAGACAAGTGGAGGACAAAATCGATGGCAAAATGTTCTTGTTGTTGTTGCTGATTTGGCGTGTGAAGATCAAAGTAGACTAAATCAACAATGAAAAAATATTTGAGAAAAATAATTTTTTGTAGAGAAAATCAATGGCATTTTTTTGTTTTGTTTTTGTTGCTGGTGCAGATCTAAATAGACTAAATCAACAATGAAAAAATATTTGAGAATAACTTTTTTTGTTTTGGTAACACTGTACCTTCTCACTGTTTGCAGCATTCCTACCAGGGATGGAAAGTGGTAATTGAGATTTTTCTTTTATATCACAAAGAACTGCAGAAATATTTTTAGGTTGACGGGGTTTTCTCTATGCTAGGCAATTTGATGAGAAGTTCAATGGCAAGGCTGTGTTTTTCTGGGTTAACGTCAAAGTGGACTAAGTCAAAAAATTAAAAGAAGAAAATTAAAAACAGACAAATTAAACAAAACTAAACAGTATATAGTCGCTTTTTTTGCACTTTATTAGCCAGAGATGGGAAATAGTAATTGCTAAGTGATAATTGATAATTAATATTAGAAATGTAAGTGTCTATAATTTCCCACTTGGGGAAGTTAAATGTTGCTTTTGCCCGATGAAAGACAAAGTGTACTAAGTCCCAAAATTAAAATAAGAAAATAAAGTAAAGCCTCTGCCAGAGATGGGAAATAGTAATTGCGAATAAATAATTGTTTTTTATTTAAATATTAGGAATGCGTTTAGCAATATTTTTGCCGCATTAGGAAGTTAAGTGAAATGTTACACAATAGCAATAAGAGAGATAGTTGTTGTTTTGCCCGATGAAAGACAAAGTGAACTAAATCAAAAATAAAAATTTGAAAAAACAAAATAACTTAAAAGAACAGCATTTTATGGCGAATATACGAATATAGTAGCTAGGCTCTATTTTTTTGCCATTTGTTATCTCTCATGCCAGAGATGGGAAATACTAATTACATTTTGCTAAGTAAATCTTTTTTTAATATTAGAAATGCGTGTAGCAATTTTTTCCGCATTAGGAAATTATGTGACATATAGTTGTTGTTTTTCCCAATGAAAGACAAAGTGGACTAAGTCAAAAATTGCAAATAAGAAAAAAATTGAACAAAAAACATATTATTTGTTTTTTTTTTTTCGCAATTTTTGGATTTCCCACCAGAGATGGAATGGGGACTAAGTCAAAAAAAAACTAAAATAAAAATAATTAAATAAATATATTTTTAAACAACAAAAAAACATGTTAGACAAGAAAAAACCTTTTTTTTTGTTTTTTTTTTTTTTGCAGTTTTTGGATTATCCACCAGAGATGGAAAATGGACTAATCAAAAACTAAAATAAAAACAAATAAGAAAAAAATATATTTTTTACAAAAAAAAATAGACAAAGAAACCTATTTTTGCAATTTTAAAGTTCCCTCCGGAGATGGAAGGTAGACTAAGTGAAAAAATTAAAATAAGAAAAAAATTAAAGAAAAAATATTTTTTTTTAACAAAAAGAAAAAACATGTTGGGCTACAAAAAAACATATTTTGTGCTTTTTTTTTTGCAGTTTTTGGCTTTTCCACCAGAGATGGAAAATGGACTAAGTCAAAAACTAATATAAAAAAATATTAGACAAAGAAATGTATTTTTTGTAATTTTGGGATTTCCCACCAGAGATGGAAAGTGGACTAAGTGAAAAAATTAAAATAAGAAAAAAATTAAAGAAAAAAAATTTTTTTAACAAAAAAACATGTTAGGCAACAAAAAACATATTTTTTTAGCAATTTTTGGATTTTCCACCAGGGATGGAAAACAATTAAAGAAACAAAAAATTTAACAAAAACAAAAAAACATATTTTGTGTTTTTTTCGCAGTTTTTGGATTTTCCACCAGAGATGGAAAATGGACTAAGTCAAAAACTATAATTAAAAAAAATTAAAATAAGAAAAAAATTAAAGAGAAAAAATATTTTTTTAACAAAAACAAAAAAAAAAACATGTTAGACAAGAAAAAACATATTTTGTGTTTTTCGCAATTTTAAATTTCCCCCCGGAGATGGAATGTGGACTAAGTGAAAAAATTAAAGAAAAAATATTTTTTTGAAAAAAAATATTTTTTTTAACAAAAACAAACAAAAAACATAGTTTGTGTTTTTTTCAGTTTTTGGATTTTTCACGAGATATGGAAAATGGGCTAAGTCAAAAACTAAAATTAAAAAATTTAAAAAAAATATTTTTTTTTAACAAAAAAATGTTAGACAAAGAAACCTATTTTTGCAATTTTTTGAATTTCCCACCAGAGATGGAAAGTGGACTAAGTCAAAAAACTAAAATAAGAAAAAAATGAGAGGAAACAGTATTTTTTAAGACAAAAAAAATATAAGGCAATAAAAAACATATTTTTGTCACAATTTTAAATTTTCCACCAGAGATGGAAAGTGGACTAAGTCAAAAAACTAAAAAATAAGAAAAAAATTAAAGGAAACAGTATTTTTTTAAACCAAAAAACATATTTGTCAAGGAAAAAACATATTTTGTTTTTTTTTTGAAATATTTGGATTTCCCTCCAAAAAAAAAAAAAAAATTAAAGAAAAAAATATATTTTAAACAAAAAATTATTAGACAAAAAGACATATTTTGTATTTTTTTTTTTTACAATTTTAAATTTCCCACAAGAGATGAAAAGTGGACTAAGTCAAAAAACTAAGATAAAATATTTTTTTTTAAACAAAAAAAAAAAAAACATATATTGGGTTTTTTTTTGCAATTTTTGGATTTTCCACCAGAGATGGAAAGTGGAAGTGGAAGTCAAAAAAAAAAAAAACTAAAGTAAAAAAAATATATAAAAATATTTTTTTAAACAAAAAAACATATTTTGTGTTTTTCCGCAATTTTAAATTTTCCTATGGAAAGAGAAAGTGAACTAAGTAAAAAAACTAAAATAAAAAAAATAAAAGGGAACAGTATTTTTTAAACAAAAAAAAACATATTTGTCAAAACTTAAATTAAATTTTTTAAATTAATTAAAATTTCCCTCTGGCGATGGAAAGTGAACTAAGTCAAAAAAAAGAAAATAAAATAAAATAAGGGAAAAAAATTAAAGAAAAAAATTTTTTTTTCCAATTTTATATTTCCCACCAGCGATGGGGAGCAATCATTGCAGCATATTCCTAATGTGTTTTAGTCCAGCTTCAATTCCATATTTTTCATGCAATTCAGAAAGCTGACTATATAAACACATTTTCCTGATTATTCCGGCAGCTGAGACTATGATTTCGCCAGAGTTATAAAAATATAAAAACTTTTGAGAAAATATATATAATTTCAGCAAAGTGGTGTTGTTCACCTAAAATCTGTTGCCATCCACCCTAGACAGCATTTCATTACATTTCGATATTCCTGCAAAAAAAAAATATTTCCACTATCTGCGCACGAATTTTCCGGTACACGATATTCCCGATATGGGGTCACGGGAAGTTGACACAATTGATAGCAGAGTTATTTTACAATGTTACCATTTGTTACAACCACAGACGACAACAACACCACAAAGTGTTTGTAAATTCGAAATCAATAATAATTACAGAACTATAACATCGGTAAGATAACGTTTGATTTGTTTCCCCTGTCATGTCGAGATGCCACCAGGGTAGCAGTATAAATAGGCGCGATGTCATGGCAAACAGTAGCAATAATTTGTTTTGATCAAAAGTTGATGTCTACAGATATGGGAGGCAGTAAGTTTTCAAAATCAAATCAAAAAAAAAACCTCTGAATATTTGAAACTCAAATTTTGTCCTCATTTTTTCGTTGCAGTAAATCTTTTGTTGCCCTTATTGGTCATCGGGCCGATGATTGCAATAGCTACAGCAAATCCCTTTAGCCATGTCAACGATTGTCGCAACCAAGCTGATGGCGCTTATCTCAATGATCCCCGTAGCTGTTCGCACTATTACATCTGTTACCAGGGTCAACGTTACCGTCAACGCTGTCCCAGTGGCCTATTCTATGATGATCACACCCGAATGTGTAACATTGCCGGTCTGGTCAAGTGTGCCCAATTGAAACGTATTGCGCTTCGATTGAATGAATATTCCAGCATGGAAAGGGATGTGTCGTCGGAAGGCGGAGCTGCCAGAGAAAATTGCAAAACAACAACTCCGGCTCCTTGTCATCCTGAAGTTGTGACAACAACGACTCCGTGTCACGCTCAACCACCACGTAGCACTACAACAACTCCATGCCATTCGGAGCCACCATCCTCGACAACAACCACTCCCTTAAATCTCGAGCCACCATCCTCCACGACCACAACTCCCCAAAATCCACCGTCCTCCACCACAATAACTCCATGCCAAACTGAACCACCATCCTCCACGACCACAACTCCCCAAAATCCACCGTCCTCCACCACAACAACTCCATGCCAAACTGAACCACCATCCTCCACGACCACAACTCCCCAAAATCCACCGTCCTCCACCACAACAACTCCATGCCAAACTGAACCACCATCCTCCACGACCACAACTCCCCAAAATCCACCGTCCTCCACCACAATAACTCCATGCCAAACTGAACCACCATCCTCCACGACCACAACTCCCCAAAATCCACCGTCCTCCACCACAACAACTCCATGCCAAACTGAACCACCATCCTCCACGACCACAACTCCCCAAAATCCACCGTCCTCCACCACAACAACTCCATGCCAAACTGAACCACCATCCTCCACGACCACAACTCCCCAAAATCCACCGTCCTCCACCACAATAACTCCATGCCAAACTGAACCACCATCCTCCACGACCACAACTCCCCAAAATCCACCGTCCTCCACCACAACAACTCCATGCCAAACTGAACCACCATCCTCCACGACCACAACTCCCCAAAATCCACCGTCCTCCACCACAACAACTCCATGCCAAACTGAACCACCATCCTCCACGACCACAACTCCCCAAAATCCACCGTCCTCCACCACAACAACTCCATGCCAAACTGAACCACCATCCTCCACGACCACAACTCCCGAAAATCCACCGTCCTCCACCACAACAACTCCATGCCAAACTGAACCACCATCTTCCACGACCACAACTCCCCAAAATCCACCGTCCTCCACCACAACAACTCCATGCCAAACTGAACCACCATCCTCCACGACCACAACTCCCCAAAATCCACCGTCCTCCACCACAACAACTCCATGCCAAACTGAACCACCATCCTCCACGACCACAACACCCCAAAATCCACCGTCCTCCACCACAACAACTCCATGCCAAACTAAACCACCATCTTCCACGACCACAACTCCCCAAAATCCACCGTCCTCCACCACAACAACTCCATGCCAAACTGAACCACCATCCTCCACGACCACAACTCCCCAAAATCCACCGTCCTCCACCACAACAACTCCATGCCAAACTGAACCACCATCCTCCACGACCACAACTCCCCAAAATCCACCGTCCTCCACCACAACAACTCCATGCCAAACTGAACCACCATCCTCCACGACCACAACTCCCCAAAATCCACCGTCCTCCACCACAACAACTCCATGCCAAACTGAACCACCATCCTCCACGACCACAACTCCCCAAAATCCACCGTCCTCCACCACAACAACTCCATGCCAAACTGAACCACCATCCTCCACGACCACAACTCCCCAAAATCCACCGTCCTCCACCACAACAACTCCATGCCATACTGAACCACCATCCTCCACGACCACAACTCCCCAAAATCCACCGTCCTCCACCACAACAACTCCATGCCAAACTAAACCACCATCTTCCACGACCACAACTCCCCAAAATCCACCGTCCTCCACCACAACAACTCCATGCCAAACTGAACCACCATCCTCCACGACCACAACTCCCCAAAATCCACCGTTCTCCACCACAACAACTCCATGCCAAACTGAACCACCATCCTCCACGACCACAACTCCCCAAAATCCACCGTCCTCCACCACAACAACTCCATGCCAAACTGAACCACCATCCTCCACGACCACAACTCCCCAAAATCCACCGTCCTCCACCACAACAACTCCATGCCAAACTGAACCACCATCCTCCACGACCACAACTCCCCAAAATCCATCGTCCTCCACCACAACAACTCCATGCCAAACTGAACCACCATCCTCCACGACCACAACTCCCCAAAATCCACCGTCCTCCACCACAACAACTCCATGCCAAACTGAACCACCATCCTCCACGACCACAACTCCCCAAAATCCACCGTCCTCCACCACAACAACTCCATGCCAAACTGAACCACCATCCTCCACGACCACAACTCCCCAAAATCCCCCGTCCTCCACAACAACAACTCCATGCCAAACTGAACCACCATCCTCCACGACCACAACTCCATGCCATCCTGAGCCACCATCCTCGACTACAACAACTCCCCAAAATTCTGAACCACCATCTTCCACCACCACAACTCCGTGCCATCCTGAGCCCCCAGTGACTACAACAACAACTCCATGTCATCCTAGAACTACAACTCCCTGTCACCAGACCACAACACCCTGTCCTCAGAGTAAACAAAATCGAAAAAAGGTTTCTTCCACTTTAAGGGCCAGATCTGGTAAAATAACCTCCCGACGAAACCAGCATCCAATCTGCGTGGGACAGGCCTATGGATCTTTGGTACGTGATCCCAATGACTGTGGCAAATTCCACGCCTGCCTCGACGGAAGAAGTGTAGAATTTAACTGTCCCGCTAATCTCTACTTCGATGAGACCAAGATGGTTTGCAACTTCCGAAATATGGTCAAATGTGACATCGGCAACAAATAGATTGGTCTGCAGCAAATAATTTTAAAATAAAATATTTAAAGCATCGTAAATTGTGAATTGTTTTTTTAATTTATTTAAAGACTAGGCATATTTTTTTTTTGGGGGGGGGGGGGGGAGTCCAGACTTCCATTGACTAATTAATTTACTTAAATCTATTGTGCCTTCTTTGCCACGGAAGGAGAGGGGGGTGATGCCAGCGATTCGTCCAACTTGAAAGTGGGGGCCAAATTTTGTGGAGCTGATTTTTTCTCCACTCGCAGCTTTTGTTTGGGCACGATTGGTGTTTCCGTTTCCTTGTCGCTGGCCTTTGGCTTTTTCTTGTCCTTCGGCAAGGCATTTAATAACTCTGCAGACATATCAATGTACTGTGGCACATTGCGATAAATGCCCAAACCCATTTTCTCTTTAACCTCCACAATATTCTGTTGGGCAACTTGCCGTGCCCTTTCCGCTCCCGATTCAAGCAAATGAATCAAATCATTTTTCTGCGCTAAATGCTCATCAATGGCCAAGCGAATGGGTTTCAGATGCTCCACAACAGCCTCAGCAACACGTAACTTATAGCGGCCTGTATCAATGGCTCTGGCTTCTTCCACGACCTTCTCTATGGGCGTTCCACTGACCATCGAATGAATTACAACTAAATTTGAAACACCAGGCCGTGCCTCAGGTTCATAGGTAACATCAGAGGTGAAATCGGTAACAGCTTTTTTGATTTTTTCCACAATGACTTCGGGTGCATCGCGTATATTTATTGTGGCCTTGGTATCCAAGTCGGATTTGGACATTTTCTTGGCAGGATTGCGTAGAGAACGTATGCGCGCCGCATCATGATTGTCAATCATGGCATGGCATATGGGAAAGGTTTGCCCAAATTTGGTGTTGAAAATGCGCGACAAATGTTGTGTCAACTGGATGTGTTGCAATTGGTCCTCACCGACAGGGACGTGAGTGGCTCTGGAACGAAAAACGAAAAAAATTAGATGAAGGAAAAAAATCTATGAAAATTCTTCAAAATAAACGAGGGCTTCGTATTTCTCATTTTTTTTCTAGAGCTTGCTGAGGTATCCGATTTTTTTTTCTGTTGAGAAAATGAACAAGTGCGAAGATCTTGAAGGTTTTTATTGAAAAAAAAAAAAACAAAACGGAAAAGGAAAAAACTAAGACCCTCAGAGGCCTGGTATTTTTCCTATCGTAAAAAAAAACTAAGACCTACAGGGGCCTTGAATTGTTTCTTTTGGAAAAAAAAACTGAAATATTCAGAGGATTACATTTTTTCTAAGACTTACGAAAATCTCGAATATTTTCTGTTGAGAAAACAGTGACCTGCGGAGATCTAGAATTTTTTTCTTCGGAAAAAAACGAAGACCTACAGAGGACTCGACTCATTTCTACCGGAAAAAAATAAAACCTACATTTTTCGAACTTTTTTTCTATTAGAAAAAAATGATACCTACAAAGGTTATCAAAATACAGAATATTGGGAGGTACCGTTATATGTGGGCTATACGAAGGCATTGACCTGCATGGACAATTTTCTGTCATAGGCTGTAATATCCCTTACGAACCTCAAATACCAAATTTGAAACAATTCCGGTGAATAGTGTCGTTAAAATCATCAAAATACCGAATATTGGGAGGTATCGTTATATGGGGGCTATACAAAGACGTAGACCTGCACGGAGAATTTTCTGTCATAGACTGCAGGATCCATTACGAAATTCAAATACCAAATTTGAAACAAATCCGGTGAATAATGTCGCTAAAATCAAAAAAATGCCGAATATTGGGAGGTATCGTTATATGGGGGCTATACAAAGACGTGGACCTGCAAGGACAATTTTCTTTCATGGGCTGTAGTTTCCATTACGAACTTCAAATGGCAAATTTGAAACATTTCCGCTGAATAATGTCGCTAAAATCAACCAAATACCGAATGTCGGGAGCTGCCGTTATATGGGGGATATACGATGACATGGGCCAGCACAGACACTTTTCTGTCATAGACTGTAGTATCCATTACGAACTTCAAATACCAAATTTGAAACAATTCCGGCGAATAGTGTCACTAAAATTGTCAAAATACCGAATATCGGGAGGTACCGTTATATGAGGGCTATACGAAGACGTAGACATACATGACCCATTTTCAATACCACAAGTCCTGTAGACATAATATATATTTGAGTAAAATTTTATAAACCTACTTCATTTCGTTCCGAAGCAAGAGTGATTTCCATAGACGGACAGAGGGACGGACATCGCTAAATCGACATAGAATTTTATGGTGATCGGGGTGGAGGGTATAAAAAATAATATTTGCGAGACTCTAGAATCTATAAATGGTTCCCCATTGAAAGCAAAACGAGATTTGTTCGATTCTTACTTGTATAACATAATATCGGCAGCCTGCAATACTGGATATACGTAAAGACCCAATGGTACATCTTTGACCGTGCGTGATTTCTCTTTGTATTGTGGCAAATGGCCCAGACGTGGCATGGTACATAAACAGCTTAAAATCCAACCCAGCTCCGTGTGCTCCTGTACCGATGACTGCACAAATATTGTAGATTTCTGGGGATCCAAGCCACAGGCCAGCATTGTGGCAGCCATTTCGAAAATGTTTTCACGCAAAACGGCAGGATTCTGAAAACAAATGGAATTTCTTTAAACGGTCATCGGATATTTAATTATTTATTAACCTGGGGTATTGTTATGGAATGCATATCAACTATGCAATAGGTAACATCATCACCACTGTTCTGCAGCTGTGTCCATTTCTGCACGGCACCCAAATAATTACCTAAATGCAGCTGACCGGTGGGTTGTATGCCGGAAAAGATCTTTCTGGGGTATTTTAGATTCTGAAAATAGGGAAATATTTAAATTTTATTATTGTTTTTTATTTTTACATATAATTTTACATTCATACCTCCTTTTCCTCTTCCATGGTGGGTGTTGACTCCATAGATTTCCTAGTCGTCTGAGTCGAAAGACTTCTCAAATTTATTCTCAAACTCTTTGCCCTTAGCCATGTTAAACTTCGCATAATTTTGTTGCAATTCATTTGTTTTTGTTTGAATTTATGTCTTCCTTCAAAGAAATAATTTAAAAATTTATTTTATAATTAACTTTGTCAAAGGGAGAAATTTTCTGGATCCAATTTCAGGGTGTATCTGAACAAAAAGAATGTATATAATTAATTTGTATTTTAAAATATATAATCAATATATAGTATTTATATATAATCAATATATATATATATAGTATTTAAGTACGTTTTTTAATACATATTCTTATATGTTCTGCTCCAGAACTGCAAGAATATAAAAGTTTTAACTACGCTAACCGATTTTTCCTTTATTTTATCGAAGAAAATTGCAAAACTAGTAGAACATATGTCCAAAAGGCATTCCCCGATTTGTTGTATTTTTTATGTTTTGTTCTAAAACTTTTCCATGTGTAGTATTTGGTATTTGGGGGATGGACCGGGGTATTTGACCCAAAATATCAAGAACTTTTACAAAACTATAGCTAAGCCGGAAAATATGTTTCCACCTACATATAATCAGCTTAAGCCCCGGGAGGTCCATTTACCTCATGGAAAGCTATTATAAGATATTTAATTTGGTACAATGTTTTTATTTTTTATGTAAGGAGTCTTTAGGGCCTAAAAACAACAGAAGACCCTAAACACTCCTCATACTTTTAGAAGGCCTTTATCTAGTTCTTAGTTTCGAATAGCCGAAAGCATAGAATAGCAGTGGCCCTTTTTTCATTAAATTATTATTTAGGTTTTTATCCAAATATTTTTAATTCTTTTAATTGTTTTATTATTACACAGACACAACACACCGGCTTAACTCTAGTTTAGTAAAAACTCTTCAATTTTTTCGAAAATTTTTGCAGTGGTAGGCATTTTAACCATGATCCCGGGAAACTATTTTTTTCTTGGGGGACGGACCTGGGAACCCAGATTTTTGACCCGAAAGTCCGGGTTCAAGACCCAGACTAGACCCGGATCCACTTATCCGATATAGACAATATGGGTTTCGTTGGAAAGCTTATGAAAATACCTATCCAACAAGTGGTCACATGATGGGGTAAGATGTTACGGTTCGGAAGTTATAGTCAAATTATCGATTTTTTGGACCCGGATTTTTTATAAAACCCCCAAAAAGTCAAAAAAGGGTCCATTATGGGGGACAACAAAATTGATGCCAAATTATAGCTGACATTTCTACCTTTCCAAAATGCTACAATTTGTGCTAATACCTTCACTGAGTCCAGAGATATGGGTCTTTCCATCCGCATAACCAGTTCATTAAATCTATGTTTTTAATAAAAAAAGGTATATTTTGCGTAAGCATGAAATTCAGAAATCTTTGGTTCGCGTTAGCCGGTGTAGGACATACCCAGAGGAGAAAATCTCAAGCCCCGGCCGAAGGCCGGCTACTTACAAAAGGTATCCAATTTAGAAAACTTTGGTTCGCGTTAGCCGGTGTGGGACATACCCAGAGGAGAAAATCTCAAGCCCCGGCCGAAGGCCGGCTATTTACAAAAAGTGTCAAATTTAGAAATCTTTGGTTCGCGTTAGCCGGTGTAGGACATACCCAGGGGAGAAAATCTCAAGCCCCGGCCGAAGGCCGGCTACTTACAAAAGGTATCCAATTTACAAAACTTTGGTTCGCGTTAGCCGGTGTAGGACATACCCAGAGGAGAAAATCTCAAGCCCCGGCCGAAGGCCGGCTACTTACAAAAAGTGCCGAAATTATGAACCTTTTGTTCGCGTTAGCCGGTGTCGGACATACCCATAGGTGAAAATCTCAAGCCCGGGCCGAAGGCCGGCTATTTACAAAAAGTGCCAAATTTAGAAAACTTTTGTTATTCCGACGACTGTTACGCGAAATAAACACTTTTTTATTGAAAACATCATTTTAGTGAACTGGTTAGAATCGCGTTATGCGGATGGAAAGACCCATATCTCTGGACCCGAAAAAGGTATTAGCACAAATTGTAGCATTTTGGAAAGGTAAGAGTGTCAGCTATAATTTGGAAACAATTTTGTTGACCCCCATAATGGGCCCTTTTTTGACTTTTTGGGGGTTTCATAAAAAATCCGGGTCCAAAAAATCGATAATTTGACTATAACTTCCGAACCATGACAACTTACCCCTTCATGTGACCACTTGTTGGATAGGTATTTCCATAAGCTTTCAATCGATACTCATATTGTCTATATCGGTTAAGTGGATCCGGGTCCAGGCGGGGTCTTGATCCCGGACTTTCGGGTCAAAAATCTGGGGTCCCGGGTCCGACCCCAAAGAAAAAAATAGTTTCCCGGGTTCAGGGTAAAAATACCTACCTCTGGAAAAAATTTCGAAAAAATCTAAGAGTTTTTACTAAACTAGAGTTGTTCCCAACACACCAAACAAAAGCGCTTCAAATTATAGGTTAAGTTCATGTTCAAGAGTTTCTTTTTCATATTTTATCGTGTTATTGATATTTTTGAGCATGCACAATCACACGTACACGTTTCTTCTACACATTTTCATTTTTTTATAATAAATTTTATACGAATTATACCTAAAATATTAATTTTTATTAACAATTTACCAAACGAACGTTTCCAAGAATTTTTTGATTAGTGTTCTATAGACCGGAAAATAACTCTAAGGCGAATGGCGACACAAACAGAAAATGAAATAAAGATGTGGAATCAAAACAGAAAGGCCAACAAAATCTGAACGACAATGTGATATGGCAAGTTTGGAGGGAAAGGCTACGAAGAAAAATTAAATAAAGATGTGGAATCACAACAAAAAGGGCAACAATGTTAGTGTTCCTTAGATCGAAATATGTTCGTTGGGGTTGGTGTTGCCATTGTGTTATACAAATGAGAGTATGACTGTAGTGACATAATTTCCCGCATAGATGGCGTCAAATAAAGTAATGATAAATTGTGAATAAATAATAATAAATACTTGAAGAGTATTAAGTAATGGCGATACATCAATAAACTATTAAAAAAATATTTTATTAAAAGAAAAATATTAGTTTTTAATGGGGTAAGGTTAAGGTTTACCTAAAAGTGGTTATAAAATATAAAAATAATTATATAAAATATATGCATATGCCATATTTTAAAAGCAAATAATGAGAGCATGATTTTAGTGATATAATTGCCCGTATAGATGGCGCCAAAAATACATTGGTTTTATCTAAGGATTGGAACCTTTTCTGCAAACATTTTTACGGGAGATAGTTTCCTTTTCATTAAGCAATTATTAAATTACAAAAAGCAAACAAAATGTGAATAAATAATATATAAATACTTGAGCACTATGGCGATATATACATAAACTATTAAAATAAATAAACATTTTATTGAAATAAAAATATTGGTTTAAAACTATTTGTAAACTATTTTTAACGTCTACCTAAAAATAATAAAATAAATGAAAATAATAAAATTTAAGGAGTTATGAGCGTTTTAAAATACCCTATTTTTCCTCTTTAATAAAATTAATTAAAATAATATGCTAAAAACCCCGAAATGTCAATATTTAAGGAGTTATGAGCGTTTTAAAATACCCTATTTTTCCTCTTTAAATATCTCAATGAAATAATATGCTAAAAACCCCGAAATGTCAATATTTAAGGAGTTATGAGCGTTTTAAAGTACCCTATTTTTCCTCTTTAAATATCTCAATGAAATAATATGCTAAAAACCCCGAAATGTCAATATTTAAGGAGTTATGAACGTTTTAAAATAACCTATTTTTCCTCTTTCGATATCTCAATGAAATAATATGCTAAAAACCCCGAAATGTCAATATTTAAGGAGTTATGAGCGTTTTAAAATACCCTATTTTTCCTCTTTAAATATCTCAATGAAATAATATGCTAAAAACCCCGAAATGTTAATATTTAAGGAGTTATGAGCGTTTTAAAATACCCTATTTTTCCTCTTTAATAAATAAAATAGAAAAAAATATTTTTGTTTAATTTTTACATTTTATTTTCATATTGTTTTTCTTTTTGAATATTTTAATTTAAAGAAGTAAAATTTCCGAATATTTATTAATTGGTTTCATAATAAAAATTATGAATTGTAATTGTTAAGGTTATGTATATATTTTCAAAATTCTTTGTATAAGCATAAATTACTTTAAACTTGTCTTGTTTTTTTGTTTTTGAGAGAGAGGGGGAGAGGAAGTTTGAAAAATATTGGAAATATTTGTAGTATAGTTTTAACTAGTGCTTGTTTTGCCAAAATCACAATTATTTACGCTGCCACCACCATCCCCTACACAGCGCGCATGGGTGGTGGTGGATGGATGCTGTAAATATTTTCATACAAAATAAACAACGCGAAAAATTCCTTCAGTTTTGAACCATACATTGTGTGTGTGTGGGTTATCTATTTAACTTACAAACTAAGCAGGAGCCTTTGACTCTTTAGTTGCTTTTTTAATATTTTTATCTTTTTTTTTTGTATTCAAAACGAGTATCCTCAATACCCTATCCAGTCTTATGTGGAAGGTATTAAAGTTCAGTACCACTGGACTGTCATCTTTTTTTTTTATTTGATATTTTCTTAACCCTAAAATCTAACATTTATCCAGCAGCAATTTGTGTGTCTATGTGTTGGTGTTACAACAGTTCTTCCCCCCACCAGTTTAAACACCACCACCATTGAGTGGTTTGCTACCCGATTCTGTGTCTGAAGCCTCCACAGATGATGTGCCATTTAAAAATAATTCTCCTCCCGCCCGGCTGATGCCGTTGGGTGTCAAAAATGTACTGCCACCATTTAATTTAAGGTTGTTGATTTTTGCCGTTATCTGCAAATCATCCTCATCCGAAGAGGCATCTGATTGTTGACGAGGCGATAGCCGACAGCCACGGGCAATATAGTTTGGCAGACGTCCCACTGAGGCCAATATCAAACCCAAAAATGGTGGTGAGGGTTTCAGGGGGCGTGACAAATATTCCGGATGATATTGGGTGCCCACATAATAGGGATGATTCCTTAGCTCAATAACTTCCATACGTTGCTTGGTATCATCACAGCCCACAAAGCGCAAGCCCTGCTCTTCCAGTTGGGGTACATATTTGGGATTCACCTCATAACGATGCCGGTGACGTTCATCAACAGTTTTGGGATTACCGTACAACTGTTTAATAATGCTGGGCTCTTCGGAGAAGATGGTGGTGCGTTTACCCAAACGCATGGTGCCGCCCATTTGACCGGTATGATGCTCAGGCATGTCAATGACCAAGGGATTTGCCGTTTTGGGATTAATTTCTGTGGTGTTGGCATCTTCCAGGCCCAAAACATTGCGGGCGAATTCTATAACAGCCGCCTGCAGACCCAGGCAAATACCCAAAAAGGGTTTGCGATTTTCACGACACCATTTGCAGGCCTTGATTTTGCCCTCTATGCCGCGGGAACCGAAGCCACCAGGTACCAAGACACCATCACTTTCACACAACAGCTGCCATTCTTTGTGGTATTTGGAGGGGGCATCCTGCAGGGTTTCGTTTTCTAAGAGACTGGAATCGATAAAGTTCAGATTGAGATTATAGCCCACAGCCAGGGCGGCATGTTGCAGGGCCTTGATTACCGAGGCATAGGAATCCTTGAATTTGGTGTATTTACCCACCAGGGCAATGTTGACGGTTTTGCGTAGGGTTTCCGAGCGACGGGCCAAGTCCTTCCATTTCTGCAGACACCTGAAAATTTCAAAATTCCAATTAAAAACACAACCTCAAAAAAAAAGAATAAGCAAAGATGCAACTCACTTTTCCCTTTTGCTCGGCTGGATATTCAACTGCAAACGTTCGTTGAGGAATTCAATGACGCCATTTTGTTCCATCAACAACGGGACATGATATATCGAGCTCAAATCATGTATACAGATGACCTGGTCCGGAGCCACATGACAGAAATTCGAGATTTTCTCCTTCACCTCCGAACCAATGGGTTTCTCGGAACGACAGACAATCAGATCAGGACTTAGGCCAAAACCTCTTAGCTCACGCACCGAACTCTGGGTGGGTTTGGTTTTGGGTTCACCCGTCGACGAGGGTGAGGGTACCAACGAGACATGGGCACAGCAGAAATTTTCACGTTTCACACGAAATTGAAATTGACGAAAGGCCTCAACGAAAGGCATACCCTCAATGTCGCCAATGGTGCCGCCCAGTTCAATGATACAAACCTGGGGTTTGGACTCACCGCGTACGGGTGTATCGGCCACACGTTCCACCCATTCCTGTATGGCATCCGTGATGTGGGGTACAACTGTGGGATGGAAAGAGGTGTTGAGTTAATTTGTCAAAAAGAAATGCTAGGTATTTCCCACTTACCCTGCACCGTCTTGCCCAGATATTCTCCCTTACGTTCCTTTTCAATAACCAGTTGATAAATTTTACCCGTGGTAATGTTATTGTCACGATGCAGTGTGACATCCAGAAAACGTTCATAGTTGCCCAAATCCAAATCGACTTCACCGCCATCGTCCAAGACATAGACTTCACCTGGAAAATAAAAGACGGGAGAGAGAGAGGGAGTTGGGAGGGGGGAAAAGAGAGAAATATTAGTATACGATTTAATTGAGAGAATTGAAATGAATTGACAAATGTCTGTGGTGGCATACTTTCAGGCGTTAAATATTTGGTCACGAGTTCCTTGTCAACATAACCTCAAAAATAGCGTTTTTTTTTATTTGTTAAAAATGTTCAATTTTTGGTGATTTTTCGTGGAAGCAGAAATTCGGCAAATATTTAAAAATGAGCTCGGGGTAAAGCCATTAAAATTTCAAAAAGTGCAAGAACTTACACCGCAACAGAAAGAAAATAGAACTGAAAGAGCTAAAGAGTTGCTGCGCTTGGCCGAAAGTGGTAAACTGCCGAATTTGGTTTTCTCCGATGAGAAAACATTCGTTGTCCAGCAGTTTGTAAACAAACAAAATGAGGTCAGCTGAAAGTGTGGACCTTCATTTGGCCATCCAAAACTCAAGCGCCGCCATAACAGCCGATGGTCGCTCTCCGCTTGTATTAATCGACCGTGGCATCAGAATAAATGCCGAATATTATGGCGAAAATATTCTCGAGGGTGTATTAAAGCCTTGGGCACTCAAACCTTTTTGGCCGCAGACCTTGGACATTCCAAGAGGACCCAGCATCGGATCGCACTCAGAAAGCGCGCGAGCCACCCAAGAATGGTTACACAATAAGGTTCCTCGCTTCATTTCCAGGGCACAATGTCCACCAAAATCTCCGGATACCAATCCTTTTGGGGACTATTGTGTCAGGTCGATCACCTCAAGCAAGCGCTTCGCCGGGAATGGTCGTAAATAGCGCAGAGTAACATTCGTGCACGGCGTGTGACGGTTTCATTGGCCATTTGAAGGCCATAATTCATGCCAAAGGTGACCAAATTCGAACAAATCTAAACTTATTCTAAAATTTGATGCTATTTCGGACATATTTTGCTTTCATTCAATAAAATTAAAAAAAAAAAAAAAAAAAAAACAAGGAAAAAAGCTATAATTTCGGCCGGGCTGAACATTGAATACCCTCCACCATTTGGTACAAATTTGGCAATTTTCAAAAAAATAAAATCCGTTAAAAATTCTATTAAAATCTTAAAAATACCGAATGTAGCCGTATATTAGGGTCTATACGACGAGGTGGACCTGCATAGGCCACTTCTGTCATAAGCTATTGCATATTCAAATGCAAAACTTAAAATAAACAGATTTTTTTTTTCAATGTAGCTAAAATCATCAGAATACCGAATATAGGGAGGTACCATGGGGGCTATAAAACGTGGACCTGAATAGACAATTTTCTGGCATAGGCTGTAGTATCCATTACGAACTTCAAATATCAAATTTGAAATAATTCCGGTGAATAATGTCGCTAACATCATCAAAATACCGTATATGGGGGTACCGTTATATGGGGATATACGAAGACGTGGACCTGCATAGACAATTTTCTGGCATAGGCTGTAGTATCCATTACGAACTTTAAATACCAAATTTGAAATAATTCCGTAAATAATATCGCTAACATCATCAAAATACCGAATTTCGGGGCGTACCGTTATATGGGGGCTATACGAAGAAGTGGACCTGCACAGACAATTTTCTGTCATAGGATGTAGTAATCATTACGAACTTCAAACACCAAATTTGAAATAGTTCCGGTAAATAATGTCGCTAAAATCAACAAAATACCGAATATCGGGAGGTACCGTTATATGGGGGCTATACGAAGATGTGGACGTGCATAGACAATTTTCTGTCATAGGTTGTAGTATCTATTACGAACTTCAAATACCAAATTTGAAACAATTCCGGTGAGTAATGTCGCTAAAATCATCGAAATACCGAATATCGAAAGGTACCGTTATATGGGGGCTATACGAAGACTTGGACCTACATGACCCATTTTCAATACCAAAAGTCCTGCAGACATAATACACATTTGAGTAAATTTTTATCAACTTATTTCATTTCGTTCGGAAGCTAGAGTGATTTCCACAGACGGATAAACGGAAGGACATTGTTAAATCGAGATAGAATTTTATGCTGATCAATTTTATGCTTAATATACCCACCATACTATGGTGGAGAGTATAAAAATGTAAAAATTATGACGTTTGACTTTGTTGCAGTTTTTTTTTTATCTCACTCTCTAATTCGCCGTAAGCAGATGTTCAATTCATTTGCTGGCTTCCCCATATCTTTGTATTCATTTGGTTTTTTTTTTTCTTTCCTCGGAAGAACTTTCAATTCCAGCCAAAGGAATTCTTAAGCCAAGCTTCAATAAAAGGCAATAAAAAAAAGATTAAAATGACCATTGAATTCATCTCACCCTGTACTTTGTTGGGTTAAAAAATTGTTATCTCGATGACTTAAAAACGGAATGACGAACTTAATATACCCTCTATGTAAGTGGAGGGTATAAAAAAATAAAATAGGAGAGAAGACTCCCTGTTGTTGGCATTTCAAATGAATATCCATAATTTATGGTTTTGGTTTTTTTTTTTGCAAAAACAATTCATAAAAATAATTGTGGTTTTTTTTTCAAGATTTATTTTTAGTTAAATTCTTTTTTGTAATTTATTGTTTTTAAATAGAATTCTTATATATACGGAAATACATTTAAAAACTAAATTTGAGATACATATGTAAAGATTTCTGTGTGTTTTTTGTTAAATATTATAAATGCTCTGTTTGGTAGGTTTCGCAAGGGTTTATGAATTTTTCTCAAAGAGAAATATTAAAACCCAAAAAGGTCTACTCAACATAATGGCGTATATTAATATCCAAACTATGGCCATTTAACAAAAAAAATATATTTACAAAATAAGAAAATAAATGCTGATATTCTGAGAAGTACAATGTAATTAATAATAATTATAAACTAAAAACAAAAAAAAAATTAAGTAGATAATTCAGTAAATGATTTAAAGCATAATTTTTTTCCTTCCAAATTTCCTGCCAAAAGGAGGAACTGTTTTTTTTTTTTAATATGTATACAATGAAAGGTATCTTAATTATTAAAGGATTCAAGTGTGTGAGAGGAAATACAATTTAAGGCTAGATATGTTTTGGCACATACACAGAGATTTGAGAGATAAGGTCCTTCACATTCATTGCATTAGAAAATCTAAAAAGTAATGACTTTGGTTTAATTGTTTTTTTTTCATCTTCCACAAAACCTCTCTCTCTCTACCCCCCTTATTTCGATTCCTCCAAATCCTCTTTGTAGAGTTCTTTGAAAATCAATTTTTGTATTTTTGTTCGAATCCTTAGCTTCTGGGCTGCCGTCAGCTGTTTCATATAGGGATGTAGCGACAACAAATAATGATAATCATCATCCTCGGGCACCAAGGGTGTGGGCGTGGCCGCATTTGATGTATCCATTGATGAGGAACCATTGAAATTACTATCCTCTGAGAGGCGTGGTCGTTTGAGTTTCAAAGCCGATATCAAACCATTGGTATAGGAATATTTGGTAAAATTCAAATTTTCATGGCTGCCATGTAGACAACTGGCCACATTGAGGGGGAAATCGTCGGAACGATCTTTACTCATGGCCGATGAGATGTTGTTGCCGTTGTTATTGCTACTGGGCGGCGGATGATGGGCCTTGTTGTACAGCGGTGGCGGTGAAACTGAACGAATTTTCTGTTGTCCACCACTGGGGGGAACACCACCACTGCCATTGGGCAAACAGGTATTGGGTAACACCAATGCACTGGGCAGATTTGTGGTAAGGGATAATGGCAATACCGAGGGCAGGGAATTGTTGCCAGATATCCCACCACCACCACCACCATTCATAGAGGCCAAGGTGGCAGCCACAGCAAAGGCTGTGTTATGGGCCATTGGTGGGGTGGCTTGAAATAAATTTAAAGCTGTCAAGGGGGCTGCTGCTGTGGCCGATGCTGTAGATGAGGGTGGTGAATTGGAGGTTGTACTTGAAACAGAGGACACGGAACAGGAGGAGAGTGAGGATGATGAGGCTGCTGCCGGGGCAACTGGAGCCGGGGCCAGTGAACTGGAGGAGGAAACTGGTACCGTTTGTAAGTATAAGGGTGATGATGATGCTACTGGCACGGGTGTTGCTGTTGTGCTTGCTGCTGCTAAGCCCAAGGCCAAGGGGCTAACCGCCGTTGTTGAAGATATTGTTGTGGCCTGTTGCTGCTGTGGCTGTAGTGTTGTTACCGGTGATGCTGTTGACGCCTGCGTCAAATTTGCTGCAGCACTGTCCAATGATTTCTTGGACAAATCTTGCACCTCTTTATCAAAATTTTTCCTATTATCCTCAAGTTTAATTATGGCTCCCGGTACACCATTCACCACTGAGGTCAGAGGTTGGGAATGGGCCGCTGGGGGTGTAGTTTCGGTAACCTCATCATCGTCCTCGTCAACATCATCTTCATCGAACTCTTCATCGCTGTCCTGCAGGCGTCGTATCAGACCATTTGTGAGATCTGGTTCAACCACGGTCTTCTCACAATCCTGACTCTGCTGGGCAAAAAAGAAGGCTTGATCCTGTTCATTTTTGGGGACCCGGTGGCGCATGTGTTCGGCTGCAGATAAACGTTATTAGGGTAATTAGAATAACTAAGGGCGGCAGGTGAGGGGTTACTTACTCAAAAACAACAAGGCATAGTAATGGATCCACTTGGACTCAAAGGTGGCTGGTTCTACCAAAAAATCACCATTATCGGCCCGGGGTATGCGTTTGTATTCCACACGGAAATTGTCACGCAGACCCTTCCATTTGGCCTTTAGCACCACCTCTGGAAAGGAAATTACCCCCAAAATTTCAAAAATTGCACTCTTTTGGTTTTTGCAATTTCTATGCTACTTACTTGGCAATTTATGTTCCGAGGATAGCTCATCCCACATTTGCTCAAGAAAAGCCTTGTTACAATGGAAATTCCGATTCCATATTGCCGGACGCTGTTCCACGTCCCTTATGAACTGTTCAACGTTTAAGACTATTGTGGATTTTTTGGGAGCCATTTAAGGCAATTCAGCAAGACATCAATCAAGCAATGGAAATCTTTAAAAATGTTGAAAATTTTTTAGCAAATCAATTAGCTGCTTTGTTTTCTTCGCTTTACGTTCAAATCATTTACAAATCATTTGACAGTAGAACCAAAGTGTACCACTCGTTGTTAACTTCACTTGAAACTCCTACAACTTGTTCAACCGTTATGTTAAGCGCAGCGAGCTGAAGTCCAGAAAAATAAAATCAAAGCAATGCACATTTAACTCCCCGCGTTCTTTACTTTTTTGCTTTTGTTTTGTTGGGGGAGCAGCAGCATTGATTTGAATGCTCATCTCTCCTTTACCTCTGCTCTCTGTCACTCTCTCACTCTGAAAGAACTTGGCTCACCCTTGCCTTTTGACAACACATGTGATGGCGTTTGCCGTTGTGTTTATGAACGAGCAAAACGACGATTGCTGGCATTTGGCAAAGTATTGGTAGTTTGCTTGCCCCCCACCCTCTCCCCTAAATCACACCATTAAGGGAGCTACGCAAAAGCAGAGAAAGAAGACGCTTTGCCAACAGTGTTAGTATGAAAAAAATGAAAACAAAAACAAAAAACCAACAGCAATAATGTTTTTTGCTGCTGGAACATTTGAATTCTTCGGTATGTGTGCCCGTGTGTGTTCCTTGGCGACGAAGGAAGAACTGCAATTTAGAATAGAACAACTTGACCAGCCAGACAAATGACACGGCAGCGGCGACGGCGACAATGACAGACAGCTTCATCGAAAGTGTATGAAAACGAATGAGGTGTTATAGGCAACAACATAGCATTGCATACAACAAAAATAACAATGGAGTTGGTTATTGTTTTCCTTTTAGAGAGCTAAGCTGTTGCTTGGAAATATGCAAGAAGAAGAGGAATACCAAAAGGATAATGGTTTAACAAAAAATCTGCATTTACTCAAAGCAAACTGCAAGAATAACATGATGATTGGTCTAATAAGAACTATTGGTTGTCCGCAATCGAAATTCATAGTCAGTTTGACGTACTACCACCAAGGGGAGCCACCAAGAGAAGGCAAATAATACCAAGGGAGATTTTAAATTATAAGAAATTTAGTTGGGAAATGGCTTAAAATAATGTTAAAGAGTGCAAGAATGCTAATAAAAAGTAGATTATTACTCTGGGCCGTGATTTGCTTATTTTGACAGTGTTTCCTCAAAGAGAAATGTGTGACATAAGAAAATGAATTATTAAAGAAAAATTCTATTACACATGGCATTAATATTTTAAGAGATTTTTTTTAATCTTAGCATTGCAATTGTGCATAATATAAACAAATTGCCAATACTTTTTATTTAACAAACTGCCAATATTTATCAATTTTGGCGGGATAGCCTTTGAAATTCATTTCAAGAGAGCATCACTCTCTCTCAGAGGTATGACAAATGCATGCAATGAGGGCATTTGTTCTTGAAATGCAAAGAGGTGGTAATAGAATATTTCTATGACACATTAATAATAGTTGTGTGGTAACGCGTGTAGTTTATGAAAGCGTAAAGCATATTTTGTTGCATAGTTATTTAAAAAAAATTGTCTTCATGTTTGGTCACTATTTGTTTTGAATCTCTATCTCTCTCAACAAAGGAAAAATCACCTGTTTGTTTTGGCAGAGATGGAATGTTTCAAATAGTTTCTTTGCAATATGATTTTCAATAAACAAAAATGTGACTAGAGAAATACAAATATAAAACAAAATCAAATTATTTTACAAAATTAAAAACAAATTAGCAATCCAGAAATCCGTTGCCTTCTGTGTGTGAATTTAATGCATGGATGGGACGTTTTAAAAAGATAATTTTATTTTTTCTTAGCGAAAATGGAACGTTTTTATTTCTTTTTGCCAAACAACAAAGAGTGACACAAATACAAAATAGAATCAAATTATTTTATATAACAAATTCACCTTCTGTGTGAGAGGTTAAATAATAGAGAAAAAAATATAGCGCTGTTGGAAAAGCGTGAAATAGAAAGTTTGAAAAGTTTCCTATATCCAATTGACCTATTACGTGTGAGAGGGAGAGAGGGCAGCGTAGATGGGAAGTTTTAAATATTTTTTTTAATATAATATTCTATAAATAAAAATAACCTATTGTTATTTTTTTAATTAAAAATTCTTACAGAGTTCTATAATAAAAAACTATAAAAAAAAACTATATAAATAATAATTTAACTTCATCGAATACAGGTTCTCAATGTATAACTAATATTATACATCTTGACAATAAAATGCCATGTTATTTAAAAGTTATTTAAAAGTGTACATTTCTGACACCAATTTTAACATTTTATTGCTAAGCTCAAATTACGAATTAAATAAATATAATTCTAAAAAATGTTTATTACAACTTTTTCATTTAATATTATTTTTTTTTTTGTAATTAAAAGTGGCACTTATCTTTTTGTTGCGATTTATAATTATTTTTGTAGCACGCAGTACTCATATAAAACTTGAATTATTTCTATATGATTCAATTTTCGTTTACAAATTTTTCCAAGCGTATTTTTTGGGGGCAATATTTGGAATTCCAACCCATGTCGTTCGCTATACAACAAAATATTTGCATTTGATACTTTTTCGTATTTTTCTTCAATTTTGTAAACAACAATTATTTATCTATGGTACAGTGTTTACTTACTAGGACAAATATTATTGCCGACAATCTGTAAATTGCAAGAACGTCATTTAAAAATCTATTAAAATTTATTATCTACAATTTTTGAATAAAATTCCTAAAGTATTAACCACTTTTTGACTTTTCAAGAATTAAAAAATCGCAAAGTTTACACCTCTGAAACCTATCAATTCGTAGTGATTGATATGCACGGCTGGAAAGTGTTATTTACTTCTCATCTACTGTGTGAGAGAGTGTCAGTTATACTAATCTCTTCTCTCTCAAGAAAAAATGTTTAGAATGGTGGATTGCAATTAAGAGAAAAATTAATTTGCAAATAAATCAATAATTTTATACACAATAGTTAAGTAAATTAAGAATTAACGAAGATCAATAAAATATCAACTGCCTGCGGTGTTAATAAATAGGATCAGGCTTAAGATTAAATATGGTGAGATTGACCGGTCCGCTGGGAATTTAAAGCCGTAGATGACTGATGAATAAAAAGTTAGGCCATGGGCCTAAGGTATTTTTGAATTTTCCCAATTTACATATTGGAAATTTCGAATCAAAGTAAGTAACATATTGCAATTCTTTTTGTTTCCATTAAAAAATTAAAGTTTTTCAGAAAAAAAGAAACATTTCTGGGTCTGGCATTTTTGCAAAAATTTCTAAACACTATGCATTTCAAGACCATAAAATCCCTTACAGCTAAGTACGACAACGAGATAGCAGCACAAAAAGAAAGAGTAGATAATGTTTTGTTCTCCAAGCAGCTTACTTCATTGACATTGTTTCTAGTTTGCATGCTTGAATGAATGAGGCATGAACTGGATGGAGCGAGAGAGATGCTTGAATGGATGGATGAGTAATGTCTCGCCGTTTGGCTGCGAAAGTAAACTAACTCACGGCTTAACGTAGAAACAAAAAAACGCTGCCAAAAGGAAACAAAAAAGCCAGCGATGGCCCACAGCAGGCAACCCAACGTAATTTTTTAAACTTCATCATCCATTTTAAAGCCTCATCATCAATTTCCAATCATTATTATCCAAATGATCATTATGCCGATTCTTACAAGGACATTCAGCGACCTGCTGGGGTATTTTTTTTTTTTGTGTTGCCTCTTCCATGCATCACAGGATTTTGTGAAATCTTTGCTAATAAAAAAATGTTAGCTACCATTATGAGAACGAAACACAGCAGTCGTATCAAGAGTCATCTTATTACATTTGCCATCAACCAACCAGCCGAGCAGCCAGCCGGCACGTTTTGTCATAACCACCAAACCATAACGGCCGACATAAAAAGTAAGGCCCAGGGCATGGCAAGAGCACACATGCAGATACTCACACACATATAAACATACATGGGTAGCAAATTCTTAAATGGTAAAATAGTGACTCACACATGTCCAAGGATTTAAAAGAAGCGACGCGGACTAAATTTTTTCAAAGATCCTTACAAAACGTGGATTTTTTTAAAAATATTTTTCAAATATTCCGACAACGTGGATTTAAAAAAATATATATTTGCGAATATTCAGACAACGTGGATTTTTAAAAAAATATTTTTTTCCAAAATTTAGACAAAGTGGATTTTCAAAAAATATTTTTTTCCAAAATTTAGACAAAGTGGATTTTTAAACAATATTTTTTTCGAGTATTCAGTCAACTTGGATTTAAAAACAAAATATTTTTTTAAATATTCAGACAGCGTGGATTTTTTTTAAAAATATTTGTTTTAATATTCAGACAACGTGGATTTTTAAAAAAATATTTTAAGACAACGTAGATTTAAAAAAATATTTTTTTTTCAATATTCAGACAATGTGGATTTTTAAAAAATATTTTTTTTTTTCGAATATTCAGACAACGTGGATTTTTAAGAAATATTTTTTTTTCGAATTTTCAGACAACGTGGATTTTTTACAAATATTTTCAGAATATTCAGACAACGTGGATTTTTTAAAAAATATTTTTTTCGAATATTCAGACAACGTGGATTTTTATTTTTTCGAATATTCAGACAACGTGGATTTTTAAAAAATATTTTTTTTCAATATTCAGACAACGTGGATTTTTAAAAAATATATATTTTTTTTTTCCAAAATTTAGACAAAGTGGGTTTTCAAAAAAATATTTTTTTTCCAAAATTTAGACAAAGTGGATTTTTAAACAATATTTTTTTCGAGTATTCAGTCAACTTGGATTTAAAAACAAAATATTTTTTTAAATATTCAGACAGCATGGATTTTTTTTAAAAAATATTTTTTTTTAATATTCAGACAACGTGGATTTTTAAAAAAATATTTTCAGACAACGTAGATTTAAAAAAATATTTTTTTTTTCAATATTCAGACAATGTGGATTTTTAAAAAATATTTTTTTTTC